AGATGAGAAAATGAGCTGAATAAACAACTCCCTAAAGAAGATATATGAACAGTCCAAAAGCGTTATGAAAAAATGCTCAACATCCCTCATTGTAAGCGATATGCAGATCAAAACCACAATGAGATACTGCCTAAACCCAGTTAGAATGGCGAAGATTAAAAAAATAAGTTAAGTGCTAGAGGGGATGTGGTGAAAGGGGAATGCACTCCTACATTGTTGGTGGGAATGTAAATTGGTCCAGCCACTTGTGGAGAACAATATGGAGTTTCCTCAAAGAACTTCAAATAGAACTACCATATGACACAGCAATTCCACTCCTGGGTACTAGCCAAAGGACAGGAAAATGCTCAGTTGGAAAATGCTTGCACAGCTATATATATTATAGCACTATTCACGATTGCTAAGACATGGAACCAACCCAAATGTCCAAAAATGGATGAATGGATTGAAAAACTGTGGCACAGAGAAGATTTCTCATGGCTCCTGGGAACTAGGTATTTTGGGACACACGAGAAATAAAGATTTTCTACTGATAACTCAGCCTCCAGCAAACAAGCTAGCATGATTGTACTTCAAGAATTTGAAAGAAACACACCATCCATCAGATGACAAGAAATCACCACCGGATCAAAAGAAATATGGGAAAGCAAGAAAATACCTCTCCTCCACGGGAAAAGAGTAACTCTTCTTCACAAGCAGTTCGGTGAAAATCATGGAAATGTCTGATAGGGAATTAAGAGCATTCATAATGTCGAAGCTAACAGAGATGGAAGAGAAGAGTGACAATGAACTGCTAAAGAGAAAAGAGAAAGAAGTTGACAAGTTCCAGAAAATGAGGAAATTCTTGCAAGATCTAAAAGAGGAATTACAGACTTTACAAAAGACTCAAACGGAACTGTTAGAGATGAAGTCTATAATACAGGAAGTCAAAATCTCCCTTGAAAGTATTAAAAGCAGACTAGATTATACAGAAAATAGACTCTCAGACGTAGAAGAGAAAATGGCTGGCCTAGAAAACTCCACCATGAAGACTGAGAAAATGGCCCCAAAATTTGAGAATAATATGCAAGAAGTACTGGATACCATCAAACGTCCAAACATCCGGATAATTGGCATTCCAGAAGGTGAAGAGACCCATAAGGGCATTGATAATCTATTCCATGAAATTCTGCAAGAAAACTTTCCAAACTTAGAGAGACATTCAAATATCCAGTCCCAAGAAATACAAAGGATCCCAAATAGAATCAACCCAAGAAGATCTTCTCCAAGACACATTATAAACAGGTTGACTAAAACCACAGACAAAGACAACATACTAAGATTGGCAAGAGAAAAACATCAAGTTACCTACAAAGGACATCCCATCAGGCTAACAGCAGATCTCTCATCGGAAACAATGCAAGTGAGGAGAGAATGGGAAAATATATTCAGAGTGTTAAGAGAGAAGCAATTTCAGCCAAGAATACTGTACCCGTCAAGATTATCTTTCATGTGGGGAGAAAAGACAAGAACATTCTCAGATAAATAAAATCTGAAACAATTTACCAGTACTAGACCAGATCTCGAAGAGGTTCCCAAGGGTGTGCTATATCAGGAAAATTAAATACAGGCACACGGAAATTAGAGTTCAGAAACTAAGAAAGTTGGCCAACTTAATCGTAGGGACAAATCTGGAGTTGAGTATTATATCCCAGAATTTAATCAGGAAAATTGAACCATAACAGAAGATTAAAGTACATGAGATTGATAGATTTATGCACCTACCATTTGAACAGAATCCTAACCTGTTTCTTGGCTTTAAGCAAAGTTCCATGGCATTTCTTTAAGTTAAAACTGGTTTTCTTAATAGTAATGAGTGAACTCACCATCGAAAGTAGTTAGATTATGTAAGAAATTGTGTGATCAATGCATAGTGGGTGGGAAAGGAATGGAAGACAATTGTAGACACCAGAGATAGCGTGAGAAGAGGGTGGGAAAGGACAGAGGGCCAGAAAGAGGGGTAAAAAGAATTCCAGGAACTAGAAATGGAAATTTTTTTATAATAATATGCATGATTAAGTCACTATACAGTATATTCTGTATGGGAAATCACATTTT